CCTCTCTACCCAATGGACTGCTCCTGATCAGCTCTAACTGTTGAGTGTACGAGTCAAGCTGTATTATAGTACAGAATGTTTACATGCTTGTAAACATAAAACTATAGCACAGTGGCAGATCTAGGATTTTCCCCTTTTCCACAATTTTGAATTTTTGTTTTTGGTATTCCACACAGAGCCTGAGTTACAGCCTTCAGTGACTGTACTGGGAATTACCTCCTACACCACCAGAATATTAACAACTATCCAAAACACAATTTAATTCTTGCGCCCTCTTGCTAGACGAGGGATGTGACTGAGCTTAGTTAAAGTTTTGTTACGCTGATTGCAAAACATACCCAAAGACCTCCCTCAAAACCTTGGAGGCAAAAACATAACAAATCGGAATTTGTCATCACTGCTGCCTCTCTCGCTGTGCTTTTAATCGTTTGTTAACAAAGAAGTAATTTGAAAAAGGGGTAATTTAAGTTGCCTCATCAAGCTAGCTCACATGTATGCAAGGATTTAAGGTGATTTAGTATTACAGCAATTAGTGTGTGAGGCACAGATCGTTCATTGTAAAGAGTGGTTACAATCATAGTGAATAGACTCATGGCATCATCAGTCCTCTATGGTAAATTATTCGGCCTATGGTGTGGTTATATCAGTTTGTTTGTTCATTTTATTTATTTGAAATCATGAAATATCAATATGTTGTTTTGAGCTTTAGAAATAGGTAAAAGATAGCAGTAAAAAAATATAAACAGCATTTTAAAATTATAATATGCTGCACTTTTCATTTTGTTAATTTGGTTGTACTCTATATACTTCGGTGAAAAAACGATAAAAGCAAATAAGATACTTAGGTGTTTCTGAATAAATGAATAGAAAACTGCACAGCATTATAATATTATTACGGGCAACTAATTGCTGCCTTATTGTTTGGTTTTCTTTAGTGTTAATTCTTCAGATGTTATTTTTCACAGGAATTAGCCACAGAGCTCTCCGCCTTTGCAAAAGGAACTGGCCCAATAATTGAGCCTTTTTTTAAGATCAGAATTTTTTAAGGCAGATGCATTAGCCACAGTGGCCTCTTCTTCAAAACAAGCTCCAAATTAAAATTCTGTTTTTTCTGACACAGGGCAGAGGCTGTGAGATGGTCTATTTGCTCAGCTTGTTTTTTGAGAAGATCTAGACGCCCGCTGTCTTGAATCCTTCAACTGTTCACGATTATTTTAATATGGTTATAAAAAATGATGGTGACATATCTTAAGACAAAACTTACATGACACTCTTAGCTTTGTTTTACCATAGCTTTATCAGCAGGTGCACTCTTATGATCGAAGTCTGGCAGCTATTGTCTACAGGATATCTCACTGTAAATGATGTTAAAACTCATGAGGCCATCAAACAATAGGTGACTATGTCGTAGCAAGATGGAAACGCATTACGGCAATCATATCTGTACAGATGGCAACTCAAACTGTTCGATGGGCCGGGAAACAATTAAGCTGCACAATCACTTCTGGAGAAGGAGGCTCCATTACAGCTAATGGGTAGTGTCTTGCTGTCAGAATGGTATTTAACGCCAAAACAGGCTAGGCGAAGAGGCTTCGTAAAACACTTGAGCTGATGCAACTGTATATAACATTATGAGCATGTGTTAATTTGTGTGTGTGTGTGTGTTTGTGTGTGTGTGTGTGTGTGAGAGAAAGAGCGAGGGAGATGTTTCAGTTTGTGTTTGTTAGGCACTAATTGTATTATTACTGATTGTAGTGGGACACACCGTGCTATAAACATCTGCATTATATCCTTATAGAGATCTGTATTGCTCTGTAAGTGAAACTATTTCTTCACAATATTTTCTATAAGTGCTATCAAGAAAGTTAACTTTTAAGCAAGTTTAAATGTGTAATATGGTCAGCTGTAATCAAAGTTACAGTTGTAAACAAACACAATGGAACATCATTGTTTTGTTGTTATCCTTATCGAGGACTTTCGAACATTGACAATGTAAGTTGAAAATATGTGAAGGTCAAGGCTAACGACAACAATAAGTCAGAAGTTCCGGACGCTGGAGTCCAGTTAGTGGGACCAGATAGGACGGGTGGGTCAAGGCTACGTCTCACTTATAAAAAACACTTTTTGAGTTATATATTTACTCTGAAGACTCACCATCAAGAACTATTTGAATAAAGCTGGAGAGGCTTTCACAACAATGCAGAAGTTCCATCAATTCCACAAACTGTTGACGGTATAAATCAAAACAGTTTAAGTTCTGTGCTTACTTGCCCGTAGACTTCAGTGCCCAGCAAAGACGAGTCTGAAGAAACTACACAGAATGATCAGTGCTGCAAAGCAATTCGACTGAAGAGTTGGGTTACACTTTCAGTTCAAGAGTCTATATGTAAATCATGATGCATTGTGTCTTTGTTTGGAAACCACAGAGCACATGGACACTCTGGAGCAGTAATGGGAACATGTTTTATAAACTGCCTATCACACTTTATTCATGCAAAAATACACCAGATTTAGGTGAGGGTAATACAACGCTGCCACAATAAACATATGTAGCCATAACACTGGTCACAAACCTGCAAGCCATGTCAATCATCCCTGGATGCGCACCAGCATCCACTTGCATCTGCAGGTCGCTGATGCCAGAAAAGATGGTCTTCATGTCTGGACAATGCAGGCAGACGTGCTGAAGGTACTTCCTCTTTGCTGCGACAGCTTTGTCCCCAATGCACCAGACCATGGCTGGATGTACAAAATGTGAGCATTTTAATAGTGAGAAATGTATTATATTGTGGACTATCAAGAAAAAAGGCAAAATAAACAGCCCTCTTATTGAGATGAGCTCAACATGGTTATCTGAAAATATATAATTCGCTCAGCTTAGTCGTGAAAAACAGTCCTCTCCTTTGTTTGACATCAAACAGCAATTAAAAAGAAACTAATTCTTACTTTGGTAGATTTGTGTGGCTACACATGCTGTGATGGGTCCCTCTGTTCTCTA